CCCTCACCCCCGCGCCTTCCGCGCTCCCCCTCGAGCCCCCCCGACAACACACCCAGTCTTCTCGCCCTCCCCTTTCTGGCCCTCCCTCGCCCACCCCAGGCACCTACCCGTGCAGGGCCCTGCGCTCGCCTCGGAGGCTGACGAAGCAACACCACGTCCACTTGGGCCGCCAGAAGCTGTCGGGGAAGGAAGGGAGGGCAAGGCAGAGGTGCCGGCGAGCCGCACAGGCTGGCTGGACAAACACTCCGGCTGAGATGTTGGCAAACAGTGTCCCTCAGCCCCGGCCCGCCCGCGCCGCCCCACCCGCGGCCCACATGCCGGAGTGACTGACTGGGCGCTCACGGCCCCACCCGGGCACCTGGAGACGCTCCAGGGCCAGACGTCTGCGAGGCCGCGCGGCCTCCTGCATCCCGGCCCCGCTGTCCGACCGCACACTGCCCCGAGCTGCCGGGGGTCTGGGGCGGCAAGACCACTGCCCTCCACCTGCAGTCTGTGAAGGCCTGTCGCGCCATCTCGGGACCTGCGGAACTTATTAAAATATCAGCGGGCCCGGCCCCCTCTCCACTTCAGAGCTCAAGGTTTCCTGCAAGGTGGAGCCTGCGGAGGAGGCGGGGAGGCCCTTCTCAGTTACACTGAGTCCCAGCAGGCCAAGTCAGCTCACCCCTCAGGTCTCTGGAGTTTACTTTTTTTTCCTTTTTGTTGACATTAAGTAATTTATCAGACACTCAGACACTTGTCAGTACCGGTGTGGCTTTGTAGGACAGGATCAAGGAGGCAAAAGGTTGGAAAGATGGAGACTGAAAACAACAGAGAAGGAAAAATGAAAAGGGAAGAAGGTAAAGGAATCTTGTGAATTGCAGCAAGAACAGGTTGGGGTGGTGCATGAAGGGAGGAGCTGACTGAGTACGGGAAAGTTCGGCAGAAGCAGAGTAGAAACATTGGAGGGCATTTTCCGTTGTGGAGGAACATTCAGAATGTGTGCAGAAAAACAGCCTGCTTTGGGCAACCCCCAGATTGCACATGTTGGGGAGAAATGTAATAAACAGTGAGCATTGTGGGAGTGAGAGCACAATGAGAGTGAGTCCTCTCCACAGTCTACTTGATAAATTCAGGGGTCTGATTTGCTTCCTTCAAAAATGAAACTTTCTTGTTCCTAACCTCTCCAGACTGCAGAAGATACTCAAAGTTAGAAAGAGCCTTGGGGGCAGAGATGAGTCCTTGAGACCTAGCTATTTAGGAACCATTCTAGGGATCCTATTGGGGAGAATTTCTGGTTTAGGTTTGGTTCCCACTGCTTATTAAATGAATGGCCTGTGGGTGCGTTTAGCTGGACTGTCATTTGCCCCTGGGTAGCTGCTGTGGCCAGCTGAAAATGAATCCTAACACTGCATGGATTGAGCAGTTGAAGAACTATAAAGGGTGGTTCATCAGCCAGTAAAATTTCCATATGACACTGGTCACAGCCAGTTACCTTCCCCCACACTCAAATTCTGTTCGTGTCCTGATAAGTCCTTCTTTATAGCAGTGCTCCCATTTTGCTACTAACCTCTCTGTACTTCAGTTTTCCCTTCTGGGTAATAACAATGAAGTTGTTGTGAGGATTAAATGAGATAATACATGTAAAGTGCTTAGAATAGTTCCTGGATGTGGTGAGTGTTCAAACACATTAGCTTATATTATTTCACATTACGTACTGTAATTTCAAGTTACAACTTCACGCTCAGACCTTGGATTTTGCTTTCTGTGGTACCTAGACTCCAAGTTAGCCTCAGTGATCCATCCCCACCTCCTCGTATGTCACTTCTGAGATTAGGTTATGGAAGACCTGTAAACGCATGCCAGGCTGGGCCTCCAGCGCAGGTCTTTGAGGCACTACTGTGGGACCACCAGCCTCAACCTTGCAGCGCATGTTGCCTGGGTGACTGCTAAATGTTCTCCAGGCAGGCAGTGGGCAGAGCTGCTGACACTGTGAGCGAAATGGGAGATGCTGAAGCAGGCAAGAAGATCTTTAGTCAAAAATGTGCTCAGTGCCACACAGTGGAAAAAAGTGGAAAACACAAGACTGGTCCAAATCTCTGGGGCCTCTTTGGGTGAAAAACAGGACAAACACCAGGATTTTCTTATTCTGATGCTAACAAAAACAAAGGTGTTGTCTGGGGAGAGGAAACTGATGGAATACTTGGAAAACCCAAAGAAATATATCCCTGGTCTTTGCTGGTCTTAAAAAGAAGAGTGAGAGAGGGATGCCTGGGTGGCTCAGTCGGTTAAGCAACTGCCTTTGGCTCAGGTCATGATCCCAGGGTCCTGGGATTGAGTCCCATATCGGGCTCCTTGCTTGGCAAGGATCCTGCTTTTCCCTCTGCCTGCAGCTCCCTCTGCTTGTGCTCTCTCTCTCTCTCTCTCTCAAAGAAAGAAAGAAAGAAAGAAAGAAAGAAAGAAAGAAAGAAAGAAGAGAGAGATCTTATTCACTATTCGAAATGGGCAACATCTTCATGAAATGCTCTTGCAACTTAAAAAATACTAGTTTTTAAGCCAGAATTTTCTAATTTCAAATATTGCATGTTTAAAGAAGTCGTATTTGATCTTTCTTGATCAGCCTGTAGTAAGTTTAACATTTAAAAATAAAGGTTGAGGGCGCCTGGGTGGCTCAGTTGGTTAAGCGACTGCCTTCGGCTCAGGTCATGATCCTGGAGTCCCGGGATCGAGTCCCGCATCGGGCTCCCTGCTCG